ATATGTTATGAACAAATTTGAAAGTGCGCCTTAATTGGATTGTTTAAAGTTACCTTTAATAAATCTCGTACTCAAAACCCAATCTAACATCAACCTTTGTAAAGGTTTGTTAATTTCTAGATTATTACGGAGTTGCACGACTACCAATGTCAACATTGAGGAGACGAGGAGGAGCTTCTTTACTCAAATCAAAGATAACCACATTGCTGAAGCCGAGGGCCGTCCATTATTGACATCGGATGGTACAGGGACCTATTTATATCCATGAACATTTTAAACTTGACCTTCCTTCCTTTTCTTCTTGATATCAGGATTTATGAGTTGTACACTATGCTCTATATATCAGGGAAATAGTAAGTTGATATGGGTCATCACCATTGAATTTATGATCGATGGAGAGTGAGCACAGGACGTGAAAAGTTCTTGATGGGATCACAATGATCACCATCACTATATTGTTGATATGTATCATAATAAACTTAGGGATTGTATACAATGAGACAATTTCTTTTGATACGAAGAGGTCAAAATTATTTATAACCATCCGATATGAAATCTAATAGCTTGGTTGTGTCACAAAGTTAGAAAAAAAAAAATCTTTTGAAGTTTGTACAATGTTAATGGAATAAATACAACCGTCTAATTTTACATCCAATGATCAAGATTAATTGTGACACCTTGTATCAACTTATCCTTGAGTACAAAAAATGTCCATCTCCATCGTCTATACCTAACAACAAGCGGTGGAGATTAGCCACTTATCTTTGCTTCCACTGTTGTCCACTAAAATCGAGGACACTAGTATCTACCTTCCATTGTTAAGTAATGAACAGTTGTGACATGTATTTCATAGTTAGTATGGTTGGTTAAAAACATTATAATAAGGGTATGGTTTGTATAAAGTTGCAACATTTGGACCTCTAAATTTTGTAATGAGATATATTGGTGTAAAAAATTCTTAAGATGGTGTGAGAATGTAATAAAATGTTAAACTCCAAAAATGATTCAAATCAAGCAGATCTATAAACACATGAAAATCATAAAACGTGATGGTCTAGATAATGTGTTGCAAGAAATACTATTTTTAGGACATGAAATCTATTTATTTTTCCATATTTATGCACTTGATGTCGAGCCCACCGGTTACCCACTACTTTAATGTCTTTTAAAGCAATAAAACCCGACCCAAGAGAACTGACAAGCCAGATTGAAGCTGGCATAGTGGGTTCGATTCAATTGGTGACAGTTCGAGCACTGTGGCAAAAAAGACTGATTCAACATATCTGCATTAAGATTTAAAACTTGTCATCCACTTCCAAGAAATGTTCCGAACAAATAACTTACAATAATACAATGCTGCATTCTCCAAAGATTGAGGAACAAGAAGAGATCTATTAAGAGAGATTTATCCGAGAAAAAATCTTAACAGTTGCATCTAATTACAAACTACAAGAAAGTTGTCCCTTTTTCTTTTTAGGAAAAAGTTTATATAAGATTGTAACTTTAAAATGTAGCAATAAAGATGCACCTCAAAAATCTATCGGATTTTTTTTTTAATGTTAAAAAACCCTCTAATTTGTCATCTCGATATAGAGATGTATGAATATAAAAAAAAAAAGGATTTTGAATCCTAGAACTAGTATATCTTGCAACATATTACCTAAATCGTCCATTTTCAAGTTTTTCATGTCTATAAATCTACTTGATTTTAACTATTTTTAAAGTTTAAAATTTTATAATTAGGTATGAAAATAGATTTCAGATAATCCTAAAATTGTTTTACTCTAAAATTACAAGTGAAAATTTGAAGATCGCCTAAATTGGATTGTTAAAGGTTGCAACCTTATAGAAACCACACCCTTCTTTTTATACCCACTTATAAGTGACAGGTTCCTAGCTTGGCTTGGTATGCCACCATTCAGGGTTGGCCCAACTTACCCAGCATAACACCATTTAAAACATGTATCTCGATAAAGAAAAAGTATTTTTCCTCTACTCTACAAGATGGGACAATTATGTTGGAGAAGACTAGAGCTTTCCAGAATTGCCCATAATGGTAAGCAAGGCTATTTCCTTCAATATGAGATTAGCATGTCCAAAGGCCGCAAACAGGGCCTAAACTGTTATCATGTGGTTCTTTGCCTGCTGAAAACCTGACCCCCATACTAAATAATTCTCCCCTTAAACAAAAAGGAAATGATAATATATGAAGTCCCTTGAACTAGGCAATGTAGGGTTCCCTCTCCAACTATTTATTAGTTTTGAAGCAGTGGGATGACAGTTACTTCAGTAGTCATTGGTACTCAACGAATTTTTCATGTAATGACCAAATAACCAAATACCGTAGAACTACACGATCATTTTCCATGTAACATCCACACACAGAGTACAGTTTCCATCAACAGATTTCAACTGAGGAAATTCAAATAATGAAATGAATGAACAATGTTTTAAGGACAAAGACTAATAAAGATGCCTCAATTAAGTAATACATACCTCACAGGATGAATCCTCAAAGAAAAGCCAATCTGCTTTGCTTGCAAATGGTACCTTGTGAATGGCCGAATAATGTCTAAATAAATCTATGACTAAACTCACGTCCTTTCATTTTTCTCTTTGTTTTGTTTGTTTTATTGTTACTATTATTATTGGAAAGGCACTGGAGAAGGATGAGCAGGTATTGTGCACCCACTTCTTCTTTAACTCTAATTGCCACACCATCGCCTTTTACGTTGAGGTCTCTGGCCTTTAACTTCAGTTTCTTCGACCTGAATACTGACAGATGGGGCGTTTGAGATTTTTTCAGGCTCCTTATTGGAAACAATAGGCTCCTTAAAACGCTCTTTCCTTTTCTCCATCTTTGCCATGGTCTCGAGTATTCGTTCATTATTGATTTTGGTGACCATCTTGTTGTTGTCATTAGCACCCTTCTGATGTGCTTTTTCGTTCATAGAACCTGAAAACCTTTCTTTAATTATTGAACTTGGTGTGGTTCTCTTAGACACTTTCTTCTTCACAGTTTTAGTAACCTCAATCTTTTTGGGCTCTTCCACTTTAGCATCCTTTTTCTGCTGCCCAGAACCATCTTCTTTATTTTGGGTGATTGGAAACTTGTCAAGCCATTTATCGTCACTGTGGTCAGAAGAGGACTCCTTGTTTCGATGGCTTACTCTTTCAATCTTTGAATTAATGTTTTGCCGATGATTATCTTGGACCACACGAGGCCCGATCTCTCCTCCCCTTTGCAGTTGATCTGAATCCGGAAAATCTGCCATTTCATCCTCAGGTATATGACGTGCACCAGTGGATCTTCTTGGTTGCTGCAAAGAAAGTTGGAAGAATTCTGTAAGCAAATAGATTTACATTGTGAAGCAGTTCAATAATCTAACTGGGAATCATGACAATTTTAAGATGAAGGTAGATCTCAAATGAAAGGAATGTTGGACCAAAAGCAATATAAGCAAATTTACTTATACGGTGAAATTCTTCAGTGACGAGCATATATGGGAGACTCCAAAGCCTAAAGTAACACACCATTAAAGGGCATTTGACACCCTGGAGGAGTGATGGTTCACAATCTTGACTTGCATCTGTCAAAGAGGGAAGTTGTTTATTTTATTTTATTAGATATATAAGTCGGTTTGACTTGCATCTAATAAATCCTGAAATTTGAAATGGTAAAAATACACAAAGCCAAGCTCGTTCTTCTAGCATGTGAAATCATAAACAATATCAAGTGAAGGTTAACGAGATAGAATCCCCAGGTGACAAGCCCCATAGCTTCTGAAGAAAGTCTATGCAATACCAGCCAATTAAAGCCATCAAATGTGCAGGTTAGTAGTCCACTGACTTGAAGTAATCAAGTTAAAATGGGCAATATGCCATCTGTAGGTAGATCTTTGCTATGACCATGTGCTCACTGCACACTGTAGAATCCTAGGACACATGAACCACAGCTATCCATTTAAAATCCGGCATCCAATTCCAAAATCAACATTTCTAAACAACACTGATAAGATTTTAGTGCTATCATAACGGAACTTCATCCATAGGGAAATATAAGATAAAATAAACAATAAGGAAATAATATAATTATTATTCTTGTTGTCTCAACAATAGTAAGAACTACAATGTTGTCGAGTCTGCTATTCTTGTGACTCCATAACTATTTCGTATTTTAAAGATGACCTATAACCACTCTTTAAATGCTCCCCAGAATTCCTTCCTAAGTAATGCTCAGGCAGTGATAAGAGTCCTTAATTTGCTTTAGAAGAGCTGAATTGTATTGTCCAAACAAGTTTGAAAATTAGTTCTGCTCCCTTCGAATGCCACTAAATATAGAGGCCGCACTTAATGCCCAAAGACTGTGACCTCTAGTTGGTAACTTAAGGACCACAACCGACAAAGCACCAAACTAAATAAAGCAAGAAATCCAACTTCTAGATCAACATAGATAGCTCTTGCCAATTTGTAATGAATCAAGAGATAAGTTGTTTTCTCTGCTTCCTTCCTTGCACATGATGCATGTATTTGGAATTTGGAGGTCCGGATGCTCGAAGGGGACCACTATAAGAAGGGTGTGGTTTGTATAAGGCAGAGACCCTAACCAATCAAAGTAAAGGGCACCTTCAAATAGTGCTGAAACATGTTTCAGTATCAGAAATCTTTGTGATGGCCTGCAAATTTATTTTCATCTCTAATTCTAAAATTTAAATACATAAACATAGTGTAGATCGAGCAGATCTATAAACACTTAAAAATTGACTGTCTAAATCAGACATTACAAGATGAACTATTTCCAAGACATTTTTTTGGATAATGTTAACATTGTATTTATGGAGCGAGAACGCAAACAGATACAAAAATGCCCAAAGGGCAGTTACCGAGAATGATGACTAAATTTAAAATAAAGACAACTTCAAAAGAACAACAACCAAAAAAGGAACAACACTCATAAAGGTTAAAACTCCGCCTGACTTCGACTGCCGCTAAGGTCCTGAGAATGCTCCCTGTTTAGCTAGGTTGTCGGCTACTGTGTTGGCTCCCTCTAGGTATGAATCCATGAGACTCGAATATGCTTGGAAAGTTCATAAATTTCATCGAATAAGTGCCAAAGTTTCCATGGTGGATAAGCCTCGCGAGAGGCCCACGAGATCACATTTTTGGAGGCCCCTTTGATGAGGAGGTGGGAGGCCCGGGAATGGTTCAACAGTCTAAGGCTTTGAAGTAGGGCTCTGGCCTCGGCCTCGATTGAGTCCGTCGACCTGATGAATTGGGAGAAAGTGAGGATGGACACACCCTCATGGTTGCGAAAGATGCCCCCTATGCCTGCTGGGCCAGGAATGCCAAGTGAGAAGCCATCAAAGTTGAGTTTGATGCAGCCCACGTCAGGGGGTCACCAAAGGGCAGAGCGGGACACCTTCCTTGGATTGAAGGAGAGGACGTGGCTCCAATTGAGATAGACATGGGCAGGCAGACCTTTGAAGAGGTTATGATTGGTGGCCCAGAATATAATCTGGGATTTGATCTTATCCTTGATCTTGTGGAAGGGAGCCACAGTGCCTTGGAAGATTCTGCTATTTCGTTCCTTCCAAATGGACCACAAGGTAGCCGCCACAGTGGCTTTCCAAGGCAACGCTCCCAATTTGGCCCATGGTCAAAAGGTTGCAAGCTTGAGGAGATCGGGTACCGATTGAGGGGGGTAACCCATTGCCAGTTGAAGGTGATAGGGCTTTGCCCCATAGTTCAGCTGCTAAAGGACAGTGAATGAATAAATGGTCATTTGATTCCTCCGCTTCAAGACACATTACACATCTGTTGGGAATCTGAACCCCTCTTCTCTGGAGTTGGTCGACAGTAAGCACTCTTTTCCACAAGGCTATCCAGGTGAAGAACTATTTCCAAGACTTGAAATCTATTTTTTTTCATGTCCATACATCTTAATGCCGAGACGAACGAATTGAGGGTTTTTCAGTATCAAAACGACCTCTTCTAGTGAATTTTTGAGGTGCGCCTTAATTTTATAGTTCAGGGCCTCACCCTCATATAAACTTTTTCCTCAAAAAAATACCATCCAAACAAACTAGCTACCCAATGTTACGAAGCCTGGACAAAGTAAGAAGAATTCATGAAAGCTTGGCCGGGTAAAAATATATCCATGACTGACATTAAAACACGGCAAAAAGATTTCATTGGGTGAGGAGGGGGGGGGGGGGACGGGGGAAGGAAAAACAAAGCTCTAAAATCATAGGTCAATCAGCATGTCCATACTTTTCCCCAAAATGAGAAATGTGTTCAACATGCTTCACAATCAGTCGAAGTCCTCAACCACCACTATCAGATCCCTATGAAAAATATTGGCTCCAAATCACCATGCCCCTGAGAATCCCTGGTAGTATAACACATCAGCATGAGCAATAGGTCAACATCAACCCTCCAAGGGATAGAAAAATTAGTCCCTAGAAAGAAATCCTCTTAAGTACCATATGCTAAAAACTTTGAACCATCTAGAACTCACTACAAACTCTTCTAATGCCTTTCCAAGAACTTGATCCCTTACTGTGTCCCTTCACCTCATTGACAACATGCATGAGTTTGTTGAGCCCATATCTGCTGCCTTTGACATCTTTCCAAGGCTCATCTAGCAACCCTCCAGAACAAAAGTGCCACTTACCTAGCAGTCATATTGGACCCATTTGTGTTTTCAAACGCCTAACCCACCATCCTTCTAAGGCGTACAAACATCTAGCCGCATCTACCTGTGAAGATAAATGGAACATGTGTTTATTACTACTATGATGCCATAAGAACTCTCTGAGTACCTTCTAGCTAAGCAAATGTGTTAGCTGGAATTGGAAAAGTGGCAAAAATTACACTGGGGAATTGGAAAGAATAGCCTCCATAAACTTTATCCTAAACCAGAGGAATGATGGTTGACATTCTAAAGCCAGCAGATTGCTTACAAGTAAACCATTTTTTTTTAATTCTACCCAACCTTTCTTCCCATTAATGCTTATTTGCTTTTCAGTTTTTTTCCTTAATGAACCATAACTTCTTTAAGAAACAGAAACAAGCTTCAAACTTCCCCCTGGCAAGGTACTCATGGCAATCTTACATGATCCAATACATAATTCTAATTGAAGTGGACCGCACATTACGTGCCAACAGAAATGATCTCAAGCAAGTCACAAAACATCAGAGGAGGGTCTCCCACTAATGTGGAAACATTGGGAGAGAATGGAACAAGAGACAGACCCATTGCTGACACTGCTGAATCATGTACAGGAGAGAAATGTTTTTCCAAAACACCTCTCTCTAGCAAGGAGAGACGTTCCCCAATCGTCAGCGACAGCAGATGTATAGGGTGCACCTCGACCATTCCCATCAGATGCATCCGCCAGATCAAATGGCTCAGATGCCTATGAACATGATGAGAAGCCATGAGACCATGAAGTGTGATACTCATGTAAGTGGCATGTACCCTCTACACCCTTCCCCTGCTTCCTGTATAATTTCAAACCACCTCTCTGTCTGCCAATGGTACTATCATACTCGTCTGGTAGTAGTTTGGGAAGACCAAAGCCAATGTAATCTCCAATAACTTCTGCACATTCTCACCAGAGCCCAAGTGGCTCCTCTACAGGGTGCTCAAACCCCCCCAGTCATAGCGCATCAAAGTTGGATGATAGAGTCATCTCAAGCCCTTTCACTGAGATTGATCGGTTGGGACAGTAGAAGGGCGGGTTCATGATATGCCCAGCATGATGATGTATTGCTTTTCATACTGCGAGGATATTGAGGAACATATAAACCAGCAGAGAAACGGAAATAGTGATAACACTACGGACCAACTTTTGAATTTCACATTAGAGAAATGGATGAAGATATGTGAAGCCTTGGAGCAAAGACAAGAGGAGGAACCAAGGGGTGAGGCAGGGGAAGATAGTCCAATAACAAGGTATACCGAGGGGCAGAGAGCTAAGAAATCTGCACTTGGGGATTAATTATGACAAAGGAATGGGGGAGCAAAGAAGCCAAATACCATAAAATCAGAGGCATGGAATGGCCTGCTTTCAACCCATCTCCACGAAAATCGTATTGTGAAATGTTTGAGTGCCTAGCAAAGGCCTGAATAGTGAAGGACTTTATTAATGATGACAGAGTAGACAATCTTAATCTAAGTATCAAAGCTTGAAAATGTCGTATACAAAGACATTAGATCAATATGAGGGAAGGCGAAGGTCGGGCTAAGTGGCTTTGGCAGGTGCATCTGAAGGGCCCATTGTGACTTGGGAAGGCAGCCGCTTCATGAAACTAGAGG